ATAAAACTACAGAAGGTTTGTGACACAGGATTTGCCTTCCATGAACACATGCTAGTTTTCACTTATAATCTTGTTCCGTTCCAGGTGTTCCACCACTCTCCTCCTGATAATCTTCTCTATGACTTTGCACACAACACATGTCAGAGACACAGGTCTGTAGTTTAGTGCCTCATTTCTGTTTCCTGTCTTAAATATGGGGACTACATTTGCTGCTCTTCCATTCCTCAGGTAGTTGCCCAGTTTCAAGGGATGTGTTGAAGATTGTGGTTAGGGGCACGCACAGCATCTCTGCTCCTTCTCTAAGGACCCATGGGGAGATGTTGTCCGGTCCCATCGCCTTTGAGGTATCAAGGTCACTTAGCAGCTTCTGCACCTCATCCTCGGTTGTTCGTATGTCATTCAACACTTGTTGGTATATTCCCTCTTGATGTTCCCTTCTGTGCTGTCTTCCCTCAGCCCTTCCTGTTTCTACTGTAAAAACTTCCTTAAATCTCCTGTGTGTGTGTGTGTGTGTGTGTGTGTGGTGTGTGTGTGTGTGTGTGTGTACTCACCTAATTGAACTCACCTAGATGTGGTTGCAGAGGTCGATTCATAGCTCCTGACCCCACTTCTTCACTGGCCGTTACTGGGTCACTCTCCCTGAGTGTGTGTACTCACCTAATTGTGATTGCAGGGGTCGATACTCAGCTCCTGGCCCTGCCTCTTCACTGAACGCTACTAGGTCCTCTCCCTGCTCCATGAGCTTTATCAAACCATTTCTTACAACTATGTATGGTTCCTGCCTCCACTACGTCACTTGTCAGACTGTTTCACTTCCTGACAACTCTATGACAAAAGATATACTTTCTAACATCCCTCTGTCTCGTCTGAGTCGTCACTTCCAATGGTGACCCCTTATTTCTCTGTCCATCCTGTCAATTCCTCAAAGTATTTTTTATGTCGTTACCATGTCTCCTCTAACTATCCTGTCCTCCAGTGTCGTCAGGTCGATTTCCCTTAACTTTTCTTCGTAGGACATTCCCCTTAGCTCTGGAACTAGTCTTATTGCAAACCTTTACACTTCTCTAATTTCATGATGTGCTTGACCAGGAGTGGGTTCCATACTCATACTGCATACTCCAACATGGGCCTGACGTACACGGTGTACAGAGTCTTGAATGACTCCTTACTCATGTATCGAAACGCTATTCTTAGATTTGCCAGGCGCCCATATGCTGCAGCAAGAATTTGGTTTATGTGCACCTCATGAGATGTACTCAGTATTATAATCACCCCAGATCCTTTTCCTTGAGTGAGGTTTGCATCCTTTGGCCCCTTAGCCTGCAATTTATCTGCGGTCTTCTTTGACCCTCCCCAATCTTCATGACTTTGCATTTGGTGGGGTTAAATTCCAGGAGCCAGCTGTTGGACCAGGCTTGCAGCCTGTCCACATCCCTTTGTAGTCCTACCTGATTCTCATTCATTTAAATTCTCAGCCTTAGCTTCACATCATCTGCAAACAGAGATATCTCTAAATCTATCTCTTCCTGCATGTCGTTCACAGGTGCCCACTCTGACACCTTATCATGCACCATCACAAGTTGTTTCCTTCCTGTCAGGTGTTCTCTGATCAATTCCAATGCCTTTCTTGTTATTCCTGCCTGCTCCTTTAGCTTTTGCACTAATCTCTTGTGCAAAACTGAGTCGAAAGCCTTCTTACAATGTAAGAAAATCCAGTCTTCCCACCCCTCTCTCTCCCCTTCCTTACCCTTGTCACCTTGTCGTAAAACTCCAGTAGGTTAGTGAAATAGGATTTCCCTTCCTTGAAACCGTGGTGGTTATCGTGTATAAGCTTGTTTCTTTCTTGGCACTCCATCAGTGTTTTTTCTCTATAAGCTTCGTCAAGTGTGTACTTACCTAATTGTGGTGTAGAGATCGATTTATTGCTCCTGACCCCGTCACTTCTCTAGTTGCTACTAGGTCCACTCTCTCCCTACTCCATGAGCTTTATCATCCCTCTTCTTAATGCTATATATGGATCCTGCCTCCACGACATCATTCTCCAGATTGTCCCATTTCTTGAGAACTCTATGACTGAAGAAGTATTTCCTAACATCCCTGTGACTCAGCTGAGTCTTCAACTTCCCGTTGTGACCTCTTGTTGCTGTATCTCATCTCTGAAGCATCCTGTCCCTATCCACCTTATCAATTCCTCTCAGTATTTTATATGTCGATATCATGCCTCCATGTCGATGTTGACAGCACCGAGTCTTCAGCAGTGCAAAAACAAAAACAAAAAAACTTAATCTAGTCTAAAGCAGAGTAAAAAAATTAAAACTGTTAATCTTCCTTGAAAACAATATTTTTACTGGGAGTAAATAACGATGAATATATCCCAAAAAATAAAAAGTGACTCTAATTACAGCAAGTTTAATTACCAAGGTGATGTAATTTCTTTTATATAAAATGTTTAATTTAATAACATTTAAAAAAAATAAATTTTCGTGTGCAAGTTTTGACACAGGTTGGTCCTTCACAAAGGAACATTGTAGTTCGTGTGCAACTCTAATATTATTTACTCGATAATATACAGAGTGTTTAAACAAATGGTTGCTCAAATATTTTGTACATAAAGTGAAGCTAAAAGTATTCCAGTTCATCATGTGTGACTAGTTAATGGTCCAAGTCGGACCGAAACGTTGTCATAAATTTCTTTCTCTAATATATTGGTTATTGTGTATTGTTCCAGTCACGTCTTTGTCTTGTATGTTGCAGTTATTTACATAACTCTCGGGATGGGCAGAATTAGAATCAGTGACAAGCCAGTCCTAAAATTTTCAGGTCAGTGTTCTAGCCAATGTGCCAAGGTAACCCCCAAAAAATCGTAAAAGGTATATACCTATTCATTAAAACTATTATGTGGATGAATTTTATTGTATCTTAGTTATATGATGACCCGCAGCTGAAGTTTTTGGTCATCTGACTGACGCCTTCCACTAGCTTATCCCTTCACCACTTTAAAAATTATTGCTATGATTATAATCATTAGAACTTTTTTGTTATAACCTAAAAAGACGTCTGTTTTATGAGACTGGAACTGAACATATTCAATGCACATTTTCTTTAGGCATCGGAATATAGAAAAACAAAATATGAAACATGGAAAAGGGACTAAAGCAAACAGATGGACAAGGAGAGGAAACATGTCATTGTAGAAATTAAAACAGGTCTACTCATCCTAGAATGAAATATACTGCAACTCAAAATATCACAAACATTGGTCAAACTGGGTAGAAATCGAGTACAAACCAGACACACTACCACGGTAGAAACAAGTACTGAATATGGCAAAAATTCTAAGCTGAATAATAGGAGTGGAAACCACTGTCTTAGCACTCTTTTGCTAGTATTATAATCACACAAAATCATTCGCACAAAAACACGATCAATATTTTTTTGCAAATAATGTATGAATGAAGCTAAGATGAAAAGTAGTTCCAAACATAAATGGACTGATCTCAAAACAAATGCATTTTAAGGCCTTTTTTGGATACCTACCAAAGGATTTCTTAATGAAGAATCCCAGAATATGGGATAGGGTAAATATATTGCAAGAGGAGTAGGCTTATATGTGGAAGATTTACTTAACTGAAAAAAAAATTAAATCACCAAGAGATATAGTAAAAATGTTTCTAATAAAAGTGAAGCTGTCATACAAACCTTTTAATTATTTTCATATTCAAGCCATCATCAGCAACAGCAAATGAGCTTTAATAAGAAAGATAAAAGCTGCCAAGAAAAATTTGTAAATGTTACACCAAATAGTATCCTCTTTGGAGACTTAAACCTCCCAGATGTAAAATGGAAGAGCATTGACAACAGCATTTGATCGGCAAATGTACCGAGAAGCAATGCAGCTGAACAATTTCACGCCTGAGGGCTCATAAGATTTTGCGAAAAATTTGCATTGGGCCAAAAGATTGTTATCTTCACCAGCAATGAGTAACTAACTTATTAGGAGCATAACAATGTTCAGCACAATACACTCGTGTATTGTGCTGAACATTGTTATGGTATAAACCTTGGTAACTGATACCGACAAAATGATTTACAAAAGCACGTGAGCAAACACTCGGACATATTTATTAGAAACTTTTCGGTTCTTGGAACTTGAGCACTTCTAACACAGAGGTTAAAAATAACAGTATATATAGGTGGATGACACAGTGACCTGAAAAATGTTCAGGGCTGACCTGACGACCTCACACGAGCTCCTGGACAATCAGCTACAAATACTCAAAGTTTTCCTTCCCTGAACTCCTACTTAGTGACTTGAGTATGAATCAATTAGCTGTTTCCAAAATTAAATTTTGCATGATCGAAAAAAATGACCTTATCGATACTGGGAAGATCGTAAATTGAAATTTGAACTCCGTTTGAAGAATGTTTATACAAATTTTCTAAAACAAATGGGCAGAGGACCGTTCCAGAAGTTTGTAAGCTAGGTTTAATCTTACTATTATTCACCTATTTAAAACTGATTATTCATATTAGTGAGTTACTCATTAGTCCAGTCGTAAATTGGTATCTTCTTCTCATACCTTAAAGAATAAAACGGCACAATACCGTGACTGGAACAATACACAAATAACCCACACACAGGAGAGAGAAACTTTATAATGTGGTGAAAATGGTTTTGAAAACCCACAAGTTGAAGAATGAGACACTTATTCACCGGTGTCTCATTCGAAACTTATGACGACATTTCGGTCCGACTTGTACCAGTAAGGTCATCATAAATTTCAGTCTCCTATTTGCTGGTTATTTGTGTATTGTTTCCATACTTTATCAAAGACTTTCTTGAAGGAATGGCTCACTAAAACATCGTAATCATTTTACACAAATTTCCAATTCTTATTCAAATTTCCACCTGATGTTCGTTTTCACGGACAACAACAAAGATATTCACCTTCATATATTTTATTACTTCTGTTCTGGTTATGAATGAGGAAGGTACTTACGTTGAGGTGTCTGTTGTAGGTGACAGAGAAGCGGTCGTCCTTGCTGTAGGTCTGACGACCCACCGTGATGAGGTGGTAGTCGCGAAGTCGTATCCAAGACACCTGCCGGAGACAACCGATTCACTCCTTAAAGGAATCTTTAATCTGAGCACCACTAACAATATCATTTTCTTAGTGCCAGTGAGAATGTGCATAGATTGGTGAGTTTAGGATCATACGTTTGCTATACAGAATTCAAAATTGAAAACTTCGAGCACAAATACTCTGGCTATCACAATGACTCTGCAGTGAGCTTTTTAGACAGCATTTGGAATAAGTCGTCCAAGTTTGGTTTCCAAATTACATGAAAAAGGAAGACATACTGGACGTGTACATAGAAGAGTTACGGTGTCCCGTTGCTCGATATCTAGCGCACTTACGTCACTCAATGAGGGTCGGGGTTCGATCCCTGGTAAGGGTAGAAACATTAGTAGGTGCTTCCTTAAGACACCTGCTGTCCCTGACCAAATTTGTTCAAAATGCTCTACATAACAAGCGGCTTCTATATAGTAGTATGTCAGTGATGTTCTATGGTCTGTATACCTTGTACATGTACTTGATATTATTATGATATTAAATGTTCTCCCACCCCTATGTACTCCCACTTACATGTACTCCCATTCCCATGTACTCCCACTCCCATGTACAACTACTTCCATGTACTACCACTCCCATGTACTATCTCTCATATGTACTACCATTCCCATATACTACACTCCTATATACTACACTCCTATGTACTACCACTCCCATATACTCTGGATACTCACTGTTTCATGGTCTGCCCTGTTGAGGATGACACAAGGAAGATTGGCAGTTGTACCAGCCTGGGCGCCCACCACACTGCCGTTCACACCTCTGCCAGTAATAAACATTATTAAAAACTACATAAACAACATCATATTTTTCTCAGAATCTTTGATTTTTTATTATCTCCTTCAATGACGCCATTATATATATATATATATATATATATATATATATATATATATATATATATATATATATATATATATATTTTTTATTTTTTATTATCACACCGGCCGATTCCCACCAAGGCAGGGTGGCCCGAAAAAGAAAAACTTTCACCATCATTCACTCCATCACTGTCTTGCCAGAAGGGTGCTTTACACTACAGTTTTTAAACTGCAACATTAACACCCTCCTTCAGAGTGCAGGCACTGTACTTCCCATCTCCAGGACTCAAGTCCGGCCTGCCGGTTTCCCTGAATCCCTTCATAAATGTTACTTTGCTCACACTCCAACAGCACGTCAAGTATTAAAAAACCATTTGTCTCCATTCACTCCTATCAAACACGCTCACGCATGCCTGCTGGAAGTCCAAGCCCCTCGCACACAAAACCTCCTTTACCCCCTCCCTCCAACCCTTCCTAGGCCGACCCCTACCCCGCCTTCCTTCCACTACAGACTGATACACTCTTGAAGTCATTCTGTTTCGCTCCATTCTCTCTACATGTCCGAACCACCTCAACAACCCTTCCTCAGCCCTCTGGACAACAGTTTTGGTAATCCCGCACCTCCTCCTAACTTCCAAACTACGAATTCTCTGCATTATATTCACACCACACATTGCCCTCAGACATGACATCTCCACTGCCTCCAGCCTTCTCCTCGCTGCAACATTCATCACCCACGCTTCACACCCATATAAGAGCGTTGGTAAAACTATACTCTCATACATTCCCCTCTTTGCCTCCAAGGACAAAGTTCTTTGTCTCCACAGACTCCTAAGTGCACCACTCACTCTTTTTCCCTCATCAATTCTATGATTCACCTCATCTTTCATAGACCCATCCGCTGACACGTCCACTCCCAAATATCTGAATACGTTCACCTCCTCCATACTCTCTCCCTCCAATCTGATATTCAATCTTTCATCACCTAATCTTTTTGTTATCCTCATAACCTTACTCTTTCCTGTATTCACCTTTAATTTTCTTCTTTTGCACACCCTACCAAATTCATCCACCAATCTCTGCAACTTCTCTTCAGAATCTCCCAAGAGCACAGTGTCATCAGCAAAGAGCAGCTGTGACAACTCCCACTTTGTGTGTGATTCTTTATCTTTTAACTCCACGCCTCTTGCCAAGACCCTCGCATTTACTTCTCTTACAACCCCATCTATAAATATATTAAACAACCACGGTGACATCACACATCCTTGTCTAAGGCCTACTTTTACTGGGAAAAAATTTCCCTCTTTCCTACATACTCTAACTTGAGCCTCACTATCCTCGTAAAAACTCTTCACTGCTTTCAGTAACCTACCTCCTACACCATACACTTGCAACATCTGCCACATTGCCCCCCTATCCACCCTGTCATACGCCTTTTCCAAATCCATAAATGCCACAAAGACCTCTTTAGCCTTATCTAAATACTGTTCACTTATATGTTTCACTGTAAACACCTGGTCCACACACCCCCTACCTTTCCTAAAGCCTCCTTGTTCATCTGCTATCCTATTCTCCGTCTTACTCTTAATTCTTTCAATTATAACTCTACCATACACTTTACCAGGTACACTCAACAGACTTATCCCCCTATAATTTTTGCACTCTCTTTTATCCCCTTTGCCTTTATACAAAGGAACTATGCATGCTCTCTGCCAATCCCTAGGTACCTTACCCTCTTCCATACATTTATTAAATAATTGCACCAACCACTCCAAAACTATATCCCCACCTGCTTTTAACATTTCTATCTTTATCCCATCAATCCCGGCTGCCTTACCCCCTTTCATTTTACCTACTGCCTCACGAACTTCCCCCACACTCACAACTGGCTCTTCCTCACTCCTACAAGATGTTATTCCTCCTTGCCCTATACACGAAATCACAGCTTCTCTATCTTCATCAACATTTAACAATTCCTCAAAATATTCCTTCCATCTTCCCAATACCTCTAACTCTCCATTTAATAACTCTCCTCTCCTATTTTTAACTGACAAATCCATTTGTTCTCTAGGCTTTCTTAACTTGTTAATCTCACTCCAAAACTTTTTCTTATTTTCAACAAAATTTGTTGATAACATCTCACCCACTCTCTCATTTGCTCTCTTTTTACATTGCTTCACCACTCTCTTAACTTCTCTCTTTTTCTCCATATACTCTTCCCTCCTTGCATCAGTTCTACTTTGTAAAAACTTCTCATATGCTAACTTTTTCTCCCTTACTACTCTCTTTACATCATCATTCCACCAATCGCTCCTCTTCCCTCCTGCACCCACTTTCCTGTAACCACAAACTTCTGCTGAACACTCTAACACTACATTTTTAAACCTACCCCATACCTCTTCGACCCCATTGCCTATGCTCTCATTAGCCCATCTATATATATATATATATATATATATATATATAATATATATATATATATATATATATATATATATATATTATATATATATATATATATAATATATATATATTATGCAAAACAACCACTCTGAAAGAATAGAGAAATTCCAAGCGCTTTCGTGACTACTCACATTGATAATGTGAGTAGTCACGAAAGCGCTTGGAATTTCTCTATTCTTTCAGAGTGGTTGTTTTGCATATTTTGAAATCACCTGTTCACTGTGATCTTATTGCATATATATATATATATATATATATATATAATATATATATATATATATATATATATATATATATATATATATATATATATATATATATATGTATATATATATACTATGTTACGTGGAACGTGGATGCATTCACTGTCAGCTGTTTAATTCCTCCCCATATGCTTTCAGCTCACTGAATCCTTATGTTCAAGTTATTTATTTACCTCTCTTTCATCTTCTGTCAGTTCTCTGCCCTTCTTTGTCTCGTCTTGTCAATGGGGTGTTTCTAGCTATCTAACTTTTCATGTGTTTGTGGCGCAATTTCGGAAGTGATTTTAAAGGGTAAAATTTCAAAATATTTCAATGGATCATTTTGACTCACATATTCATCTGTAGCTTTCCTGCTTTTATCTGCCTGTTCTTGTTTTTGTTTCTTATTCTGTATATTTCAATATTTATTCATTCATTTTTATGGCTTTAGCAGTCTAGCTACGTTATGTCCCGTCTGATATTCAACGTAGTCTCTTTGTTTCGTAGATTATCTTCTCTTCTACATCCCCACTACATTCATGCACGGAACTTTCCTTTCCTTTGTACATAGGTTTGATTAGGTTAGGTTAGATTAGGTTAGGTTAGATTAGGTAAGATTAGGTTAGGTTGGGTTAGGTTAGGTGATATTAGGTTAGGTATGGTTAGGTTAGTTTAGGTTAGGTTAGGTAAGGTTCTTCAGGAAACAAGACAAGATTAGGTAGGTTAGGTTTGGTTAGATTAGGTTAGATTAGGTTTGGTTAGGTGATATTAGGTTAGGTTAGGTGAGGTTAGGTTAGGTAAGGTTAGATTTGGTTAGGTTAGGTAAGGTTAAGTTAGGTTAGGCTAGGTAAGGTTAGGAAAGGTTAGGGTAGGTTTGGTTTAGGTTAGTTAGGTTAGGTTTGGTTAGGTTAGATTATGTAAGATTAGGTTAGGTTAGGTTAGGTTAGGTTAGGTTAGGTTAGGTTTGGTTAGGTTAGATTATGTAAGATTAGGTTAGGTTAGGTTAGGTTTGGTTAGGTTAGGTTAGGTTAGGTTAGGTTAGGTTAGGTTTGGTTAGGTTAGGTTAGGTTAGGTTAGTTTAGGTGAGGTTAGTTTAGGTAAGGTTAGGTTAGTTTAGATTAAGTTAGTTAATATTCTTCAGGAAGCAACATAGAATTAGGATAGGTTATGTTAGGTTTTGTTAGATTAGGTAAGATTAGGTTAGGGTTAGTTAGGTTAAGTTAGGTGAGGTTAGGTTATGTGAGGTTAGGTTATGTTAGGTTTGGTTAGATTAAGTGAGATTAGGTTAGGTAAGGTTAGGTTAGGTGAGGTTACGTTAGGTAAGGTTAGGTTAGGTTAAATAAATAACAAAAAGGCACAATACCGTGACTGGAACGATACACATATAACCCGCACATAAAAGAGAGAAGCTTACATGACAAGATTGGGTTAGGTTAGGTTTGGTTAGATTAGGTAAGATTAGGCTAGGTTAGGTTAGGCGAAGTTAGGTTAGGTAAGGTTAGGTTAGGTTAGGTGAGGTAAGGTAAGGTAAGGTAACGTTAGGTTAGGTTAGGTTAGGCTAGATTAGGTTAGGTTCGGTTAGGTTAGATTAGGTAAGGTTAGGTTAGGTTAAGTAAGGATAGGTTAGGCTAGGTAAGGTAAGATAAGATAAGGTAAAGTAAGGTAAGATAAGGTTAGGTTAGGTTAGGTTAGGTTAGGTTAGGTTAGGTTAGGCAAGGTAAGGTAAGGTAAGGTAAGGTGAGGTAAGGTTAGGTTATGTTATGTAAGGTTCTTCAGGAAGCAAGACAAGTGTTTCCTGACGCTGGTCTTGGTCATATGACCCACAGCTGGAGGTTTTGGTCATTTGCCGAGGTCTTTCACTACCTTACCAGTCCATCACTTTAAAATTTTTGGTTATGATTATATCCATTAGATTAATGTTTTGTTTATTATTATCTGTTTGATAAACCATCCCTTCTCTTTAAAGTCCCTTAAACCAGGTATTCAAAACTCTGGTCATCATGTCCTTCTAATGTGACGACTTCTCGATTTATGTTTCTTCTGATTTACTTAAGAAAGTTTATTTTCTCCTCCCATTCTTGCTTCTTTTTACGTGAGAGTTTATGAAGTTGTCTTCAACAGTATCCATCAGTTTTATTTCTCATGTCCAGAGTAATGTTTGTGTAAGTGAGTCTATTTTGGCACATGTGCACGTAAGAATAAATATCATACATATTAACATAAATGTAAGTTACCAACCAGGATAATAATCCAAAAACGTCAAAGTGATTTATTCTCATTGCTGGTTTCCGGTTCTTTCAGTCTGTCTTCTGACTGTATCCCTGACCAGTATATTAGAAGAGATTCTTCTGGTTGTTCTCTTTTCCTGGGCCTTTTATTTTATTGCGTTCTGTATCCTTCATTTGTTATAGTTCTCGCAGTGTAGTCAAGAATTTCAATTAAATTTTGGTTATTTTAATCTCTTTTATCTTATAATGTGACTCCAACTAATGTCTTCGTTTTCTCTCATTACACTGAAGTAACACTCTGGGAATACTGAACTAATTAACTATCTTAGGAGCCTTGTCTTTAGGAGAAAAATGCATAAATGCTATTTTGTTCTTGGTTTTTCATTTATGTTAGTAATCATATACCACATTCTAAGCATTGTTTCAATTTCTATTGCAAGTGTCCAGACTTCAGTCATTTTGTCTTTTTTTTAGGGTTATCCTAGGTAATTTACACATGTTACTTTTGCAGCAGCACCACCACCACCAGCACCAGCAGCATCTGCAGCACCAGCAGCAGCAGCAGCAGCAGCAGCAGCCACGAACGAGTGATTTTAAGAAAATAACGATAATGAGTCTAGCCGGGGATCGAACCCCCTATACTTCAGCACGCCTCCCGAGAATCCTGCCAAAATTCTCAGATGCCTTATTCCATTTGGCCATCATCGTGGATGTATTAATATGTGTACTGCTTGTGAAAACTGATATTTCAAACGAGGGGAGAATGAAATTAGTTCTGTAGCTTCCATCGCCACGTATATAATAGCATCAGAAGTGACATATCCAGTGGTACTGGGTACCTGGTGTTTGGAGCATTGTTGGCCAAGTGAACTAAGTCGTCTCGGAATATCCGCAAGCTTCTCTGGAGGCGTACTAAAGCATCGGGGGCTCGATCTCCGGCTAGTTGCATTATTGTTATATGTTACTATGTATGATAATTGTAGTCACCTGAGTTTGTATAACTGTACTTATGTGTACCTGTACCTAAATAAACTTACTAAGCGACTGAAGTGAAAAAAAATCAAGGATGAGAAGTATTAATAGATCCCAATTGAAATAAGGCACTTTCTCTGATTCTTTCGGGATATCCTAGTGGGTAATTTACACTATGTATGATAACTGTACTTATGTAAACCTCTGCCTAAATAAACTTAGACTTTAAGCGATTAAGATACAGAACATAAATTATATGTTTTGGCACTATTAAGGGAAATACGGAGAAGTTGAGGATTTATTTAGGAATGGTATTGTAGGTAAGGAGTTTGTGGGTAACACTGTAGAGGCTGATGAGTTACGACAGGAACAGTATGTGATGGGGAAAGAAGATTAGGATGGAAATAAAAAAGGAATTATGATGGACAAGCTTTGATAAAGAGATGAAGATTTGATGGAGAGGAAATACAGGGATAAGAGGTGAAACGCGAGGAAAAATAGAGTTAATGGATGAGATTATTGGCAGATAAAGGACTGAGGCAGACAGATGATAAATCAGTAGGGAAAAGAGAGACACATGAGATGAGATGCAGAGAGAGTTAAAGTGGAAAGAGTAGCAAGAATTACGAGGAACGATGTGTGGAAAGCGGAGTGTGGAAGATGGTATTAGTAGGACGTGAAAGGAAGCAGGAAGACTTAAAGACAGGCGAAAAGGAAGATTTATGGGGTGAAGGAGAGAGAAAGATGTGGAATGAAAATTGGGAAAGAAGGGAAAGTCAAGTTGAATGGATGGAGAGGAGTAGAGAGTGAATGGGAGAGATAGTAGTTGAGTGAGTTTAGAATTGTTCAAGAGAAATGAAGAGAGGGTATTATTAGCTAATTGAACGGGAGAATATTGTGTGGAACACAACGTGTGGGGAGGGAAAGGAAATAGATAGGGTTGAGGAGTATTCATTTTTGGGTATTAATGGAGAGAGAGAGAGAGAAGGAAGGATGAGAGGCATAGATTAGAATAAAAATACGATAAGGGTTAGTGTGGAGGGAATATTAGTTTTGTAAAGGTAGGCGTGTCGTATAGGGTTGAGCTAAGTGGTTCCCAAACCCTGGGTCGTGACCCAAATATTAATAATAACAATAATTTTTATTTCAGTATGATACAATGTTTGTGCAGAGATGGGTGACGTTTAGTTGTGTATTCAGAAGGAATATACACGAGTGTGGTGGGAGAGAGTGCGTGTATATGAGTAAGCAAGGGAGAAGGTTGTATAAATTTTGTGTCTTGATGAGTGAATTTAAGAGTGTTTATGAGTGAGTGATTGAGTAAATGTATCGCGTTGTCTGTGATTTTTGGGTGATAGTAAGGTTAGGTTAGGTAAGGTTCTTCAGGAAACAGGACAAGTATTTCCTGACGCTGGTCTTAGTCATATGACGAATCTGAAGCTTTTGGTCATCTGACAGAGGCCTTTCGCTGGCTTAGTCCTCCATCCCTTTAAAAATTATGATTATAATTATAACCAATAGAGTAAGTAAATTGATTTAAGTACAGGTCCAAATAAGTACAGCTATCATGCATAGTAACATACGTGTAAATTACCCACAAGAATAACCCCAAAAAAAAAGTCAAAGTGACTAATTTCCATTGGGGTTAAATAGTTTCTTTTTAATATTGCTGTTCAATATTTTATTTTCAAGCTTTAGACTAAATTTTCTGATGTATTTCATAAAAAATATTTAATTTCAAATTTTCCTTTTCCTAAGTTTGAACTTTAATGGAAAAATGACCCAACGCAATTTACAGTAGATACCTGAAGTTTTGAAATTTGGTTTCAGTGAACCGAGAGAACGAACTGGGAATGTCCATCCCCCATTGTTTTTATTACCTTTAATCCTCGCTAACGATTCTATGAGGAAAAACAAATTGTGACATTAGCTCGGTTCATCCAAATTTTGCCCAACAACAACAGAATTATTAGAATGACGAAGAAGATGAAATAAAGTCAGTTTCATGCTTCCTACAGTATAACTTTTCTCTGGAGAAAATATTGTTTGCGTCCACTGAAGTGGAGTGGTAAAGTGAGATGCAGAAAGGGTCATAACATTGGGGAGGAAGTACCGAAGGAAGCAACAGTGGCAGTGGTGAAAATTGTTTGTGGTGATAAGAAGGTGGAGTCTGTGTCACTTATCAACCACAGTGTCAAACGTCGAGATTGATAACAAGTTAAAAGCTAATTTGGTTCAACTTATTTTGGCACTGAAAAAGCGGGGATTTTTTCATCGCATGCGGATGAATCCGTGGAGTTTGCAAATGACCCTCAGCTCATGGATTTCCCGATGTTTGACACCCTGCAGGAATTTCTGTTCTGCAGTTTCCTGTCAACCACCACTGGAGAAGACAGCTTCACCCATAGTGAACAATTTCTTTCCCAAAAGAGGCATAACCTTGAGTAGTTGATGTGTGTGGCTGTGAGCGTTCACGGAGCTTCATCCTTGAGGGGAAAGTAATGTGGTTTTTGTTATTTTAAAGCAGAAAATCCCAACTTCAATATAGTTCGCTATTTATTACACCAGGAAAACTTGTCCTCACATCATTTGCAGCAGGAACGCTTATGGTTCTCAATGAGTAATCCAAATGGTGACTTTTGTCAAGGATTTTCAACTCACAAAGATTTTCAGGCTTTATTACGATCAAATTAAAGCACTGAGTCACTTGCCTGGGATTCATCTGTAAAACCCCGTATTTGTGGTAACAGTGGTGGCCCATGTTAACCTTCCTATGATGTATAGAAATATACCTAGTTGGATGAAGCTTACTATAGTCAGCTGGCCCAGTGGTTAACACACTCACCTCTGAATTTTAGGACTTACTTGCCGTGGGTTCAAACCCCAACCCGTTCCCTGATTTGTATGCAATCTTGTTATTACGATTTCGTGAGCTAAACAATTTATGTTACAGGTAAGGCCTCACTGTGTAAGAGGTACCTGTTCTCCCTCCCAGTGTAAGCTTTGGTAAGTTGGTAGATGCATCATCTCAGCCTGCTGTGTCCCGCGGGATGTTGTGTCATTCCTCAAGACACAACATGGTTGGTCTTACTGATGCCTCTTCTCCTAACACAGTTATTAGCTTTTGACTTGTTTAACCTTCACTCATAGTACCGAAGACCTTATATTTCCATTCCTTATATGCAAGCACGCTTTTTTAAGAGCTTTTACCATTAGGATATTTTTTTTTCTTTTCTCATTCTTGACACTTTCGATTCTAGTTCATGTCTATCATTTCAATTAAAATGATCTTTGGTCTAAATATTGATTTCACAGATAAGCAACATACACATAGCAGCTTTTCCATACATATTTTCCATATATATGTTTGATTTGCTTGATCTGGGAATTCTGAAACTCGCGAATTATACATTGAAACTGACTCACGAAATCGTAATAACACGATTGCAAACAAATCAGGGAACGGATGAGTGTTTGAACCTAAGGCAAGTGAGTGCTGAAACTCATATATTACCTAGTGACTACGAGGCTTAATAGTGCTCTGAAACTTACCTAAAGACAGCATCGGTGACCCTAATAGTAGGCTTCTCTTCCCAAGGTCCTACTAGAAGGGAAGGATTCTTCAGTCCCTCAGGATTATCGGGGATAGCTGGGTCCCTTGTAGTAGAATCATCGTAGTCCAGACGAGGTCCAGCCGTCCAGGTGCGCTGTGGCTGCAACTGTAAATACGGCTGGTGAACGTCAGGGATCCCTCGGGACTTATCCAGTATATACGAGTCTTTCTTCCCATGTTGATGGTGAACAGACAACGAGGAAGAATTCGTAACGTCGATATCTGTTGCGGTGTTGGAGTTAGTTACCAGGAACCTCCGGTAGTCGTGCATGGTGTTGGCGAGTCGTTTGGGAAGGTGGCGGTGAAACACTTGCCCCTGGTGGTGAACTCTTGAAGCTGAACCTGCAGGAAAAGAACCTCCGTAAATAATGGGACATCAGGTTATCTACGTGTGTTTGTGTTGTTGCGCAGTCCGAGAAATATATCATTATGGCTCCTAACCACAGCTCCCTCTACCTCAATAAAAATAATAATAATAATAATAATAATAATAATAATAATAATAATAATAATAATAATAATAATAATAATAATAATAATAATAATAGTAATAATAATAATAATAATAATAATAAAAATAATAATAATAATAATAATAATAATAATAAACTTATACAGACCAAAGCTGACAATAGTGACATAACTATATAGAAAGCCCCTGGTTATGCAGAGCATTTCGGGCAAATTAGGTTAATTTTGTCTACAGGATGAGGCCCGCACCAGTCGACTAACACCCTGGTACCTACTTGCTAATATGTGAACAGAGACATCAGGTATCTTAAGGAAACATGCTCCAGTGTTTCCATCCGTACCGCGGATGGAAACACTGACCTCACTGTATGAGCTGAATGGGCTACCAACCGAGTGTGGCATACGTTTTGTAATACAGTAAAATATTATTAACGGAGATTTGAAGCCAACCAGAAGAGGCATTAACAAGGTATTACATACATACTAAAATCACAATACCTTCAAAAAAAAAATGGAAATTTGACATCTACGGAGCACAAAACAAATAAAAATGTTATAACGTCATTTCTGAAGTTTTAATGAAAATCACAAGAAATTCTCAATTTTTTGTTTTTAGCACATCGGCCGTCTCCTACCCAGGCAGAGTGATCCACAAAAAAGAAGAAACACTTCCACCATCACTAATTACATCCCTATCTTGTCAGAGGGACACGGATACTACAGTTCAGTACTACAACTATCCCTACCTCTCCTTCAGAAATCACAATTCTAAAATACAGCGTTGAAGGTTTAAGACCGATCAGATGAACCTCATAAATTATCACACAACAACAGGCACTTAAATCTTTACAATATAGGTGCCTATGTAGGCGTCTATACTGCTCAAAAACAGGCTAAATATTGTACCAGCTCTTTTGCTTTGTTCCAGCTCTTTTGCTTCAGCTAAGTAAGATTCGCCAGCATTAAACGGTTGAAGACTATCAGAAGAGTCATTTTCTACTTCTTGCACAAAAATAAATTTGATTAAAAAACCGATAAATTCAAATTGAGAAATAAATTACATTAAAACAAATCAAAATGTCCACAGCCCAAAACCCTGTCCATAAGACGCCTCAATCATTGAAGAGTGACGACACCCTTGAGAAGAAACACTGCCCTTAACGGATAGAATATCTCACCTACACCCTCAACTAACAACCTCAACCTTTTTCTGTAAGAACACACCAGTGTCGAAAGTTTGAAAGCAATAAGGAGAGTCATTCTTGAGATATCGACTGGACTCCAAATCTGGGAATAGTTTATAGAAAATTGATTAGAGGGGGCCGACATGCTGCTACAAGGGCATGAATTTTTCCTTAATTACAGTGCACCTACAGTGAAAATTTGAAGCCTATAGGACGAAGCATTCTCAAGTTATAAGCGAAAACCTTGCAGGAAGGAAAGAAAATATTCAGACAACCACACGAAGCTAATCCTTCTGGGGATAACTAAGAGGTTCAATATCTCGATGCAAGATATTACTCCTGCATCATCAGCGTGCTACAACATCTAACCGCTGCTATGTGCGCCTCCTAACTTCAAGCTATACTCTAGACTGAAGCCATGGCACCTGTCTTCAGGATTCACGAGTGGTTCTAGGCTAGAGCACCTAGATGCAGGCTACAATTTAGCACCTCGCTGTGCTACAGCTTTAACAAATGCCTGCAGAGTACAGAATCTAACCTGAGGCTACAGCACCTGCTTGTAGCCTCCAGGGCTATCAATAGACTACAGCCTGCGGTACTGCAGGGTACAGCACATCAATGCAAATTTCAGAGTATGTCTGCTGGATACAGTATCTAGCTGCAGGTTACAACATCTGTCTACAGGCGTCAGCACCAAGTTGCAAGCTACAGCACCAAGCTGAAGGCTACAGCACCTGGCTGAAGGTTACAGCAGTTACTTGCAGGTTACAATACCTGATTTTAAGCTGTAATAATGCCCAAACACATTTATGCACATGCGCCTTATTCATCATTATGATGAATGAGACCATCATTTATCATGAATATGGAAGGTATTCACAAATGGTCCGACTTGGACCATTAACAAGTGTGACTAGTTAATGGTCCAAGTCGGACCGAAACGTCGTCATAAGTTCCATTCCCCTATGTGCGAATTATTTGTGTATTTTCCCAGTCACGGTACTATGACTTTTTATTCTTTATGAAATATGTTGTTTAGACGGTAGATTCGGTGGCAGTTTTGTGCTAAAGAAGACATCAATTTCCGCATTTGAAGGACAAAAGGCGAATAAGAGAAGAAAATTCACTTTTAATGCGTATATAATTCTTTGTGAGCTGTCTATTTAATGTATTGTATTCTGAGTATTATGTAACTTGTGCTCCTTTTAATGCATACATAATTCCTTTTGACCTCTGTTTAGTGTATTGTATTCTGAGTATTGTGTGTTGTGTGCTCCCAGTTAGTGTGAAGCTGCCTAGTGTGAATTACCTCGCCTAACTCACTCTCCCGGGAGTGTCATCAGCAACAACTCTCCCCGCCATACCAGCCCTTCCTATCTCCCACTACACCAGCCCTTCCTACCTCCCGCCACACCAGCCCTCCCAACCCCCACCACACCAACCCTTCCTACCTCCCACCACACCAGCCCTTCCTACCTCCCACCACACCAGCCCTTCCCACCCCCACCACACCAACCCATCCTACCTCCCACCACACCAACCCTTCCTACCTCCCACAACACCAGCCCTTTTTGCCTCCCACCACACGAGCCCTTCCCACCGCCACCACACCAGCCCTTCTTGCCTCCCACCACACCAGCCCTTCCTTCCTCCCACCACACCAGCCTTTCTTACCTTCCACCACAACAGCTCTTCTCACCCCCACTACACCAGCCCTTCTTACCTCCCACCACACCAGCCCTTCTTACCTCCCACCACACCAGCTCTTCCTACCTCCCACCACACCAGCCATTCCTACCTCCCACCAACCAGCCCTTCCTACCTCTCACCACACCAGCCCTTCCTACCTCCCACCACACCAGCCCTTCTCACCTCCCACCACACCAGCCCTTCTTACTTTCCACAACACAAGCCCTTCCTACCTCCTACCACACCAGCCCTTCCTACCTCCTACCACACCAGCCCTTTTTACCTCCCACCACACCACCCCTTCTTATCACCCACCACACCAGCCCTTCCTACCTCCCACCATACCAGCCCTTCTTAACTCCCACCACACCAGCCCTATTTACTTCCCACCACTCCAGCCCTTCTTACTTCCCACCACACCAGCCCTTCCTTCCACCACTCCAGCCCTTCTTACTTCCCACCACACCAGCCCTTCCTTCCTCCCACCACACCAGCCCTTTCTACCTCCCACCACACCAGCCCTTCTTACCTCCCACCACACCAGCACTTCCTGCCTCCCACTTTCTGTCTCTCCCATTATTAGACACATATCCAATCTATCAAAAACATGCTGATACACACGACACGGTAAGTAATAGTTGAGTAATTCCGTTAATGGATATTGGACTAAAATGCTGAGAAAGTAACGAAATTTCAGTAACATCTGACAAAAACAAGAGTTTTTCTTCTCACCGAGAGATACAATCTCTTAAAGCGTGAAATTAGTCCTAATAGACTATTTAAATTATACCAAGAAAACTAAAAGACCTTATATATATATATATATATATATATATATATATATATATATATATATATATATATATATATATATATATATATATATATATATATGTATTTATATATATATATATATATATATATATATATATATATATATATATATATAATATATATATATATATATATATATATATATATATATATATATATGGCAGGAAAAGAGGGACTATAAATGTATTAATTCAAGAATTATGTGGAGTAAAATAAAGGTTGGATGTGAAAAGTGGGTTATAGTAAGTGCATATGCACCTGGAGAAGAGAGAAGCGTAGAGGAGAAAGAGAGATTTTGGGAAATATTGAGTGAATGCGTGGGGAGTTTTGAACCAAGTGTGAGAGTACTTGTGGTTGGGGATTTCAATGCTAAAGTGGATATAAATGTTGTGGAGGGAGTAGTAGGTAAATTTGGGGTGCCAGGGGTAAATGTAAATGGGGAACCTTTAATTGAGCTATGTGTAGAAAGAGATTTGGTAATAAGTAATACATATTTTATGAAAAAAGAGGATAAATAAATATACAAGGTATGATGTAGCACGTAATGAAAGTAGTTTGTTAGATTATGTATTGGTGGATAAAAGGTTAATGGGTAGGCTCCAGGATGTACATGTTTATAGAGGGGCAACTGATATATCGGATCATTATTTAGTTGTAGCTACAGTTAGAGTAAGAGGTAGACGGGACAAGAGGAAGGTGGCAACAACAAGTAGGAGGGAAGTGAAAGTGTATAAACTAAGGGAGGAGGAAGTTCGGGTGAGATATAAGCGACTATTGCCAGAAAGGTGGGCTAGTGCAAAGATGAGTAGTGGGGGGGTTGAAGAGGGTTGGAACATGGTATTAGATTGTGGGGCAGAAGTTTGTGGTTATAAGAGGGTGGGGGCAGGAGGAAAGAGAAGTGATTGGTGGAATGATGAAGTAAAGGGTGAAATAAAAGAGAAAAAGTTAGCTTATGAGAGATTTTTACAAAGCAGAAGTGTTATAAGAAGAGCAGAGTGTATGGAGAGTAAAAGAAAGTGAAGAGAGTGGTGAGAGAGTGCAAAAGGAGAGCAGATGATAGAGTGGGAAGGCACTGTCAAGAAATTTTAATGAAAATAAGAAAAAAATTTGGAGTGAGTTAAACAAGTTAAGAAAGCCTAGGGAACGTATGGATTTGTCAGTTAA